GGGGGGGGGGGGGGGGGATTGTCCTGGTACTCAGTTTTCGGTACTGTAATTTCCCGGGATGCCGTCTGACTTCTCGAGTTTCGGGATTTGGATTTTTCGGGATCGTGCACTGCTCCGGAATTTCGACCGTTCCCGCGTCATTCAAAAGTTCCTTCCCCCCCGAGAATTCGATTTCTCCCGGGCGATTAGAATCCTTCACTGCGGGAGAAAATGAGGGTACTCAAGGTTTCGAGCGTGGAGCTTAGTCGTTCCACCGAAACCCACGACCGGATTCGAATAAGAGTGCGTTTGCCGACGCGTTTCCAGGCGTCGGGTCCGCGTCGAAGCTACGCGACTTCGACGACTGGCAAGACCCGCGGCTGTCGACCACCGACGACGACCTGGTCTCTCCGTACTCGGACTCGTCGACGAACGAACTCGACCAGATCCGGCCGCAGGACTTGACGAAGAACGGCACTTACGTGATACGCCGGGGCCGCAAGAAGGAGCGCAAGGTACTGCCGAAGACCCCGACCAAGACGAAGAGCCTGTCCTTCGAGAACGGCGAGGAGAGCCGGCTGTCGGACGTAAAGCGGTACTCGAGCACTTTCGATAACATCAAAAGCCTGCTGAAGGAGGGCAAGCTGGAGGGCCTGGACGAGCCGCCGGCGGAGTTCACGGTGCCGGTGCCGCCGCCCGACCTCATCAGGGTGGTGTCGATGCCGGCGATCAACAACGAGGCCGGCAGCCGGGCTCAGCTGGAGATCACCGTCGAAGAGGAGGAGTCGTCCGATATGTCCGAGAAGGACAAAGAGCGCAACAACGTGGAGCTACCTCGGCTGCCGTCGCCGATCGAGGACGAGGACCGGACGGATCGTCCTCGCGTGGGGGACCAGTCGAGAGACTGCAACGGCGCGCCGCTGCCGTTCTCGATGGAGCCGGGCAAGTCGTGCGCGCCGGAATCGAGAAAGGGCAGCGAGCAGCGGCTGGTCTCCAAGATCCCGGTGAACCTGCTGATCGAGGACCAGATCGTGAAGAAGGCGCTCAAGGAGAATCGCCGGCAGCTGGAGAAGGTCAGCGACGCGATCAAGGAGATCGAGAACGTGAGGAACAGCGAGTCGTACTGCAGCGAGAGCAAGCGCTGGCGGAACGGCGACGTCAAGCAGAACAGCTCGAAGCGCAACAGCTTCGAGAGCAACGAGCCGGAGCGGAAGCCGGCGGACGGCAGTCCGTACGACAGCAGGAGCTGCCGGAAGCAGCAGCACGGCTCCGACTCCTCCGAGGCCTCCAAGACCAGCTCGGACGCGGACTTCGCCGAGCGGAGGAAACCGAACGGCGGCACCGACGTCGTCTACTCGTCCGGCAGGCGGTTGCGCCAGAACGGCATCGAGAACCACAAGAACGACCAGAAGCAAATCGAGAACGTGATCGACGCCATCCTGGAGGACTCGAAGAACCCGGAATTCCAGGTGAGTCGAGCGCCCATTGGGTAAACCCGCTGGTACCCTACTGAGTTTAAAGTCAAGTTTTACTTTCTCGATTGCATGAAAACCCGCGGGATGTTTCTGCGCGAGGCAATCAATGAGAGACTCGCGAAATTTCATGAGATCGGTCATTATTTTCGCGTTACTCGTGTGCGAAAACGAGGAAAAACCGCTAAAGTCGTCGCTTTACCTTACCATATCTCCGTCTACACACGTCCTCCGGTGAAGCTGGTGGTAGTAGGACGACTTCGGCGGGTGTCGTCGCGACGCGTACGCCCGCGCGATCGCGTTATCGTTATTCCGCGCGAGTCGTCCTTAAGAGGCCGCGCGAAAGGACGGAAAGCGAGCGGAAATAAGGACCTCCGTCTTTACGGCGCAGAGAATAGCGAGGTGCATCTGCATCGTGAAAAATGCACGGGAAGAAATATACGGGCATTGCGGGGGCGATGGTGAAAAGGCGGCGAGAAGCAGCTGAGACCCCGGGCGCGCCGGCCGTCCCATATATAAATTGGTAGCGTTACCCCCCGTAATATAGGATTCCATTAGCGATGCCGAGCGAAGGGCGCATTTCTCCCCGTGAAATGTGGACGGAACCCGGGGACCCCGCGCCGGATCCATTTTTACTAATTCCCGCATAACTTTCGCGCGAAAGGTCTTTAATTTCTCTCCCCTCCCCCTGCCGTGCGACGAAACTAATCGCCTAAACGTCGTCCTAATCTCGCACGTGTGCAGATCGAGATTATTCATTCTTCACTCGGCGCGCGCGCACTAAAAAGGATATTGTTGTCCCCGAAAACGACAATATTTTTCTCTCAGTGTATCGACGATACATTTGTTGTAGCTGCTTCAAGTGAAATTTCGTTGCAAGAAATTTGGAGAATGAATTCAATCTTCCACGTGTGTGAAGTGGAAGTTCACGCACACACGCGGTTGCCCGAACGTAACGGCGAAACCGAATGATTCTGCTACTTTGCGAAGCCTCTGAACAATCCCGTCGTACCTGCGTTGCGACAGGTGAGCGTTGAGGTGATGGAGTTCCCGCCGTTGCCGCCTTCGCCCGTCGAAGAGGCCGATGAGGAGAGCTCGGACATCGGTCAGAGCTCGGTGATGCCGCCCAAGTCTAAGAGCCACGGCGGCAGCAACAGGACCGTCGAGTACAGGCCGAGGGTGCCGCCTCATCGCACCCCGGTCGGCGACTCGAAGGAACAGGCTTCCTTGAATACCAGGTCCATGGACGCCGGCTTTGCTAGGGGGAGACGCGCGCCGGCCGCCAATAACTCCAGGCGAGAGGTGAGTCGAAGCTTCGATTCTACATTGGACGGATAAAAGTATAAATAGATTCGTTACTACGTTACATTAACTACGCAAATTTCGTCGGATTTGAAAATCTAACGGAGAATCCCGAGGTCCAAGATATTAATTAATTATTAATAATATTATGTATCGTTATTATTATTTGTTATTATATTATTTATTATTATCAATTGTCCTTTGATTTTATAAAATGTCGTAGTTTGACTTCAGTCCCTCAACGACGGCGGATGATACAATAAGAATATAATAAGACATGTGAAAATTTATCGTGTTACGTACTCATTAATCCTATTATTTATTCATATTAATCATTTAATATTTGCGTAAAGTTAAAGAGAAACATTGCAGGTGGAATATAGTTCGAGATAATTCGAATATCAAATATTTCTTGAATAAATACACACTGTCTCAGGCGCCGCTCAACGTAGAGAAAGCAGCGGTGAGTGACCATTTGCAGCAGTATCAAAGTAAAACAATGGCTTGTATATATTTCGGGACTTTCCATTGATCCTTCAACGTAATTCGCGGAATTAACATAGATTCGACATTTTGTCTCGTGTTCCTATGAGATTTTCAAACATTAAATGAAACCGACACAATAGATCGTCCCCTTTCTCCTCTCTCTTGTTCCCCCGGGAGATAATTGGCGGTGCTTTTATTATTTTCCGCGCGCAGAAACATTTTGCAGTTAACAATTGTAATTCTGCCAACATGATTTTACCGTTTTTCCTCTTAGTGGAGAGAATATCAGAAAGATACGCGTTTAAAAATAAATTTTCCCGCGGGAATATAAAAGAAAACGAGTGAATGTGTGTTCTCCGTTATAATAACACGGACTTGTTAGAAATCGCCGTTCCGCGGGAGCGAGAAGGACCCCCTCCGCGGTCGAGCGGGATTAATCGCGAGACAAACGCATCCTGGCTTGTTCTAATCAGCGTTACCGGCTATCTCCGGCTGGTTTCTTTCAATCCTCGGATTAAGTCGCTCGGCGACGCGGTGTCTCCGGGGAATACGTAACAACGATAAATAAGGAGGATCGCTAATAAGCGCCGTGCGAGAGCGCGAGTTTTCGCGGGGGTGGAAAAGGCTATCCGAGCTGCGTCGCGAGCTCGTTCGGCCACGCTTGGGGGAACAGTCGCGTTGCGGGAGAGGAAAGAGAGACAAAAGTGCGGAGAAGCGAACGAGACGGAGGTGGTGGAGGGCCAACGCCTTCCGCAATAAACAAGCTGGCGACGAGCCAATTTCTCGTATTGCCCGTAATAAAATAGTACGATGTACTCTCGCCGCTTGTACCGGCGGAGGAATTTCCATGTTAAGTGCCGACCGTTCCCGGCATAAAGCGCGCTCGCCCGCTCGCCGATAGCGCGGGGCCGATGACGCGGAAAGATATCCCAGCGGCACACACGATCTGTGCTTGATTTCTACTCGGGTCGGGCAACGCATCTTCGAGGGGAAGAACCATCCCCCCGCAGCGGGAGATGCGTGCACGCGAGTGACACGCATGTTTCTCGCGCGGTGGACGCGATATCGATTTCGACTTCGGCGCCGCGCGTAACTAAACTCGAATAATTTGCGCGAGCGCTTTATTATTACCGGCGAGTCTCCGCGCTGCACTCGCCGCACCGTGGCGATGATTAATATTTTAATTATCGTGGTATAATTGTGCGGTGTAACGTGTGTATTATTATAGCGTACCGCCGTGCGATACGTACATAATTAAACTCTCGCTCGTTACGTTCGGCGGGAGAGCGCAACGCGGTCTACTTCGTGTTACGTAATTATAAACCTTATCTACCCGTGGTGTTATCAGTGTCCCGAAGATTCCTCTCGGCGATATTCGTCGATACTTTATTCGATGTTTTATTCGGCATTTTATTCGTCGACTCGCCGTGTGTGATTAACGGCAAGATTGCGCAGGAAAAAATTACTATTCGATTCAAGACTCACATTCTCGTGCATAAACAAGAAGATAAAGGGTGTTACATAAAACATACATAAGTATAAATTAATGTTTCGGATATAAATTGAAGTGGAAGATGTTTCGTAAACGTGGGTCCGATTCGAAATGGTTATCCATCTATGTGTTGGGACAGCCTGTAAAATTTCTTTAAGAGTAAGTTTTACCTTCATATGAGATTACGTATTCTTGCTTATATCTGTGAGAATATGAGTCTCGAGTTGATATGAATTTTTTCTGCGTGGGATTATACTTTTCCGAACGATATCGCAAAAACTTCACCTCGGTCGTACCACCCGCGTCCTGAGAGAGAGAGAGAGAGAAAGAGAGAGTTCATTTATCCCCTCGTAACTTAAGATTCGTAAAAATAAGATAAACTTAATCTGTCTGAGATCAATCTCGATAAACGGGCCGAGTTCCTCTCTCCCCCTCTCTCTTTCTCTCGAGGCAGTAACAGTTTCCATAGAGGGGATTCGATGGAATGATCGCGAGAGGATCTCTGCGGAATAACGTAGCTCGATTGAAATCGGATCGGATATTTTGCGTGTGTATCCTTCAGACACTCGTCGAGATCGCTTCGACCTCGCTTCGACCTTGTGAAACAGCAGGACCTCTTTTGAAACGAACAATAGTCGCGTGTAGTCCGGCATAATATCGAAGCAATCACTTTGAAGCTCGCGCGCACAACGCGCGTTCCCGTTCGCGAAATGGACGGGAAAATGTTTCGCACCGGAGATCAGATCAAAGGCAAGACGACGGGAAAAAGACGAAGAGAAAAAGAAAAGAAACGACGCGATTCTCTCTCGTGCTTCTTCGGTTGCGGAACGTGGGTCACGTCGACAGGGACATGCGTGTGGAAAATAAGTGCCTTCTTCCGCGGTCCCCGCGCTAATTTTCCCTCATTTGGTTCTCTCATTTGCTCCGGTATTATCCAGCCGGCCCGTCGCCGAGGACGGCGATTCTTGCGGCAATTTTCCGCGACGGAACCGACGTCTTTCCCCACCCCTCTTGACCGTTGCCGACGTTTCTGTTGGCGGAAGAAAATCTCCCGACTCCCCGAACACTGGCGCGATTATTTCCGTGCCTGCGATATGTCGATAGATAGGAAATTAAAGTTTTCCGAAAAATGCTACCGATTAAAAAGTTTATTGGGAGGGAACGATCATTCGAATAAATTATTCATAACGGAACGCTGCGAAACTGTCCGGTATTAACTTGCTATTTCGTCTGGAATAGTTTATGACAAGTAACTGGCCGAGAAATAATAGTCAGTATTATTTTTAGACAGTTTCTGAACAGTTATCGTCGAATTAATTCAAGCCGATAAAACCGGTCCAGTTTCTGCCTAGCGGCCAGTTTTTCCCGAATATTTTTCTACTCGGGATTTCCACTCGGGACGGTGTCGACGGGTGTGCGACTCGCGGGCAATCGTGTGTCGCGCTTAATCGCAGTCGGCAGATTACAAATCAACGACACGGGGGTCGTCGACAGGTGCGATGCGCGCCACTGATACGCCTTAATCGGGATATCGGCGCGCGAGACAATGGCCGCGCGACCCTTGTTGTTCGGAGCCCGCGATCACCCCGGCGATCGTCTCTCCCTCGCCGGAAGGGGCAAAACCGCGCTAGGGCTGCGCGTTTCGGAGAAAAAGCTACAACCGGGGGAATAAAAACGAACGGAGAACCGTTCTCTTCCCGTCGTCGCGTGTGTCGCCCCTCGCCCATATTGTCTCGCCCGGCGGGGACCGGCTGGGGAGGCTGCGAGCGAATAAAAGGGGGCTCCCTTTTCGCAGCGGGAGAGGGTGAGCCGAGAAAGGGACGCTGCCATGGTGAATGGAGAGGGCCCGGGCGCACGTATATCCCTGTGATAAATAAAATGTCCATGTCTCTATGCGCATTGTGCATAATGAAAAGTAACGATGTGTGCGAGGGCGTATATATATATATATATATATATGTATACAAGGTGAGTTAAAAGTCTGGGTACAGTCGAATATCTCATAAACAAAGCGATTTTGAAATTCGATTAATTCTGCCGACGATCGAAGATGGAAAAATTTCCGCGCGAGAAGGAATAACGGGGATTTTTGTACACTCGCTAACAACTTTGGCACCGGAGTCATGGATACAAATAGAGAAGCGCATTCTGAATTCGACACACTTTCCCTAGAAATTCCCCCCTCATTTTGCGGAAGCCTCGGATCACTTTCTCAGCGATCACACATCTTGACACTTGCGGCGGGTAGCCTACGAAAGAATTAAGCGCACGACCGGTTGCGAATGACAGCCAGATCCGATCGTCTCGAATATTCCCTGAAAGTTTCGCGCGCTCCCACGGCAAGATTACACAGGTCTCGTACACGCGTGTATGTGTATATGTGTATGTAAGTCTGCCGTACGAGTTCGGATGCGAATTTCGTATGCGAAATACAAGCCGAATGTCGAGGCGACATAGCCGACGAGCGTAGAAACAGCCGACACACAAGGCGTGTTTAGGCTCGTTACATATTCAAATGCGCGTCAAGCGTTGTCGCGCAAGAGACTCGTTGTCGATCTCTCGTCAGTCGTATGCTTCTCGAGCGATCCCGGTTGCTCGCGTGCTCCCAACCTCTCGAGATTCTAAATACACTTCAAACAGATTTATACCGTTGTCGACGTTTAAAATTCCTTTGCGTCTCTCTCTCTCTCTCTCTCTCTCTCTCTCTCTCTCTCTCTCTTTCTGTGACCGGTCGACGCCCTCGCAATTTTTATCGCGAAACGCCACCGCCACGACGTTCCGCGTGTTACCCGTTTGTTTTTGTCCGCGCGTAACGGACATGCTCTCAGTGTAAAAAGTAAATTCCGGTCTCGATATGTCCCGAAATAAAAAAAGAGAGAGAAACCGAGGGAGAGAGAGAGAGAGAGAGAGAGAGAGAGAGAGAAGAAACGATTGTTATGCGTCAACAAAAGTCGAAATTGAAAAAAACGGACGGGAAAGTTTTCCGTTGTGTCTGCGATAAATACAACTTGGATAATCTAAT